CGATACTTATTATAGTGAAATAATTAAAGATCAAATACAGAGAAAACCTTAAAAGTAGTGGAAAGAGGTATGATTTAAGTAAATCCTCTATCATACAAAACAGAGTCCACAATCTTCACATATTCTTAAAAATGAAGTCATAGTTACTAGAATAAATACAAGGAATTGAGAAGTAATGGAATACTTCTCAATAAACTCCATAAAATAACAATACAACATCATTTAAAATTAACAAACAAAAAATAATTGGAAGTTAAAATTGTTATAGAACATATATATTTGGAGAGTTGGAAGGCAAAAGTGTAAACAACTTCCAGAAAGAAAAAAAAAATGACAGAATTAAAAATAGAGAAAAGATATAGAGAATTGAGCAACTGACCAGTAGCTCAGTATCCTAAAAGTAGTTCTCCTTCATGATGAAGCCAGAGTCAATAAAGTGTCAAGGTTCAACAACATAACTTGGAGAAATTCCACAGTAAGCAAGAGCAATGAATACTGCAAGGGCACACTGAAAAACAAAAAAAGACCCATTGCAGTGTTTATCATATAAGATTTCTCAGTATGTGTTAAGGTTGATCCTAGAACACTCTAGAGACAAAATAATCAAGTTATAAATAAAGAAAAACAGGAAAATCCAAAAAAAAGCAGAACTTGATAATAGAAGACAATGCTTTTAAAAATCTAAGGAATATTATTTTTAATATTGAATTCTATACCAACCAAAATATCAATCAGATATTATATTTTAGCATATTCTGTACTACTACAAACTTGATACCTGAGACTGAGTAATTTATAAAGAACAGAAATTAATTTCTCATAGTTGTGTAGGCTAGAAAGTCCAAGATTAAGTCACCACCATCTGGTCTATGAGGGCCTTCTTGCTGCATTGCATGTGGCACAAGGTAGTATGGCAACAACCTAGCTAGGTGAATGCTGCATGAAGCTTCTTAGTGCCCTCAATTCCTCTAACAAAGAAGAGTCCTCATGGTCTGTTTACCAGTTTAAGGCTCCACCTCTTCATACTAACGTATTGCAATGGCTGAATTTTGGAGGATACATGTTCAAACCACAGCAAGTCAGGACAAACACATTTACCTTATATAAGTCATTTCTCAGGAAAACCAGACTATGCCAAAATGTACTGGAGAATATGCTACACTAAAAATGAGAAAATCAATGTAGGGAACCAAGACTAGACTGAGGTGAAAGGAAATGGTAGGATTACAAATGGAAAGTCTAGCATAGGAGATATATTAGTCAGTTTTCTCTTGCTGTAACAAAATACTTGAGGTTGGGTAATGTAGAAAAGAAAAAAAGGTTTATTTAGCTTATAATTTTAAAGGGTACAAGTTCAAGGTTGAGTGGCTGAATTTGTTTGTGCTGAGAACCTCTGGATGGAATGGAATCATGGTGGGAATATGTGTGAGTGAGCACATGAAAAGACGTGAATCCAGCCAGTATGGAAGGGCCAATCTTGTTCCTTCACAACTGTCTTACAAGAACCAATCAGATTCTCAGTAGATCTAAAATAATTTTTTCTAAGGGCAGCTCCATCAGTGATCTCATTATTTTCCACTGAACTTCACCTTTTAAAAAAATTTAATGCATAGGAGTTAAACAGAAAAATGGTCTTCATTATGGCATATTTGAACATGCATTTAACATTCTCTGATTATCCTCTCCTATTATCTTCTTCCCTATTTCTCCTTTCTCCCCCATAGCCTCTTCCTCTTTTGTAGTCATCTTGCTTCTATAGACCTTACTTCTTACAGTTACCATATCACCTCTCACATCACCACATTGGGGACCAGCCTTTGAACACATGAGCCTATCCAAACCATAGCAAGAGGTGTGCAGTAGAACTTGAGAGTTATCTGCAGCCAGGCACCCAGAAGCCTTTAGGAGGGATTTCTCAGGAAACAGAGGAAACTGCTCAGATGTGAGCTAGCTTTGACCCTGTGGAAAATCACTGTGTGAGCCATTTTACAGAGATACCATGACATGTGGAAGACTCAGTATGTGTTTCAGGAAAACACAAGTAAATGAAAAAATAATAAATTGGGCTGGGAATAGGAGAAGAGAGTAGCACAAGAAAAACAAACATCACAGATTTCTCTTTGATTCTATAATGACCAATAATTGCATAGTTACAAGCAGAAATATTGATTATAGATTTAAGTAAACGTGTGGAAATATGTTAGGATACAGGAGGAGTACAAATTTTCATGAGAGGTTTTATAAAGTGTTGAAATCGTAGCTTCACTAATAGGAAGATAGCAGAGGTGGGAGAGAGGATTTTTTTGTGCAGACTTAACTAGCATATTTTTGGCACCCAACCAATGCAGAGCTACTAAATTTTCTCTGTAGTCTCTACCTGTGAGCAATAAATTTGCTATCTTGTAATATAATAATAAAAAACTTACTTAGTTTCAGTAATAGAACTTGCTTGCACATATCCTTAGGCAAACCAGCTATTTTGCTATGTGCACATGAATCTGGTTCAATCCTTATTTGGAGAAAAATGTAGAATTTAAATTCATATTTTCTGTAGTAGTACTCACATGGAAAGAGAATCTTTGCCTCAAGTTCTTCAACCTAAATAATCTAATGATGTCAGTCAATACTTACAGAATTGTAGCAATCTTAAACTCTAATGGTGAAAGAAAAATATAGGTGTCTATGATGTGCACATTGATTTTAACAGTTCATTCTTAGTGAAAAATGTAATTGAATATGTGTTTAAATGGATAACACTACTTTCAAGGCAGAATACGACAGTTTAATGCAATGGAAAGAACTGGATATGTCCACATATTAAATAGTTTGCTGATTGACAGTAACTCTTTATATCTAGGATTTTATATATACCCCTTAGAATCCTCTCTCAATAAAAGCACTATGGTTCTTCAGTTGTTGTCAAATTGACATATAATATACCTTTTATAACTTTTAATGTGATAGTCCTTTCCTTCCCCACCCCCATAGGAGAAGGCAATGTATGTACTCTAGCAAAAGCAATCTAAAAAATACTTTCAGTGCAATGATGATTTATAATCCTCCATGAGTGCTTTATATCCTTCTCTGGAAATGTTTATGTGTGTCTAACTATATCTGTGTTTTTAAATGAGCATGCATATATACAGAGATAAAGTAGAGTTTATACCATTTTTGAGGAGTAACTGACAATTTATACTATTATATTAAAAATAAGTGCCAATGCAAGGCATATTAGTTGAATAAAACATAGTCAAAGTAATCACGACTATTAAGAAATTGTTGTTTTTGTCAAGTTTTTAATATTCTACCAAAGAATGATAGCTCAAAAATTCACATTTTTTCTCTTTATTATCTCTCATGTTAAAATGGAAACCAAATGCCTTGGTATTATTCATTCATTTTTAGTAGCTGTATAATTTTCATAACCAGTATAATATAATTTATTATACCATTTCTTTTAATGACATTTAGGTTTTTCAAATTTTTGTCACTATAAGATGTTCATTTGAACTATCCTTTCTTTAGAGTTCCAAAAATGGGTTTGATAAATCAATAGTGTGTATATTTTTAATTTTAAGAAACACTGAGGATTAAATTCCAAAAATTGTGCTAACAGTTTATATACTTGGTGATGTAAGAAAAGTATTCATGCCTTCCCCTGTTGCCAACTTCCATTAATGGATGTGATCAGCCAGTAAATTTTTGCCATATCAAGAAAAAAACATATGGGGAAAAAAATGTCCTCTCATGTTTTCCATGGGCATTTTCCCTACTCAGTAAAGTTGACCAATATCTTACATTACAGTATGACTAATATTTGCCTTTTTTTGTCTTCAATGAAATGAGTGCAAATCTTTTTACTATTTTTCTATTGAAGTTTTTGCCTCCGTCATTTTGAGTACTTTTGTACTTAAGGAATATTGTCTTTAACTGACTGGTTTTTCTGAACATATTTTTTGCCCATTTTTATAACTTTTTAAAAACTAAAGTTCATTTCTGGCCAAGTAATATGCAAGCAGTGTTAAATATTAAATACTAATGAAAGTACTTTAATGAAATTCAGCTTTCCTGATGCACCTTTTCACATTCTTGTTTCTTGCTATGGAAAACAATGCTTTCTTACCATATTTTAGGTTTTTAAATCCATGTTTATAAATAATAACATGATTATACTATATTATTGTCTAATTAGACATTTTCTATTGACTTATTATAGCTGCTTAGGATTTGGTTCTCAGTTATTAATGTGTACCTTGCTGTGTCTATGTAAATATTGTACACTGCTGACCCTAATGTGTGTATGAGTGCAATGATTATTCTCCCCTTGTGTTACAAATATTTGTTTTGTATTGACTTAACAAGTGTATTTTTTAAAAAGTTTTACTGTTTATATAACTAGTTTTTAAAATTTCCCTATGTACTTTACCTGATTTGCTACATGTGTATACATGATTTTTTGGCATATAATTCAAAATTTCATCAGTTTCATTCTGTCTTCTAGAGATCAAACTCTTCTACTCGTAGTAGACGTTTTGCATTTTGAGCTCTCAAATTACTAAATACTATTTTCCATGTTCCCCAAGAGAACTGCTGCTGAGAGATGTATTTTTTTCAGGCAAAAAGAAATAGAAGAAAAGCAAGAATGTAAAAGACCTCTAGTGAGGAACATTGCTTTTCTAAAACTTCTCAGATTATTTTTTACTAGCCAGATATGTTTTAAATGGCCTTTCTGAATAGAAGGATATTTGCAAAGGCAAGTCTTGTGAACACATTGTCCATAAAAATATCAAGATTCTATAAGAAAGAACAAAAATAAATGTGGAGATTCGGTAGGCAGTGAATAATGTTTTCTATATTTGTTGATAGATATAGATGTATAGATATAAGTATAGTCTGCCAAACACTGTATGGACACTTCTGGAAAATAAAAACTTGTATAAATATTTTAATATTAAATTTATTTAGACATCATAAGATTAATACAAGTTACTTTTGTCCTCTACAATTACAAGATGTGCTCAAAGTGGTGGATGTTAGCTTCCAGACATTTACTAGTACAGCAAACTTCTTCTTGGGTAACCTTGGTCATCGAGATTGCTGCACATGCATTTTCATTTTCTTCTCTAAGGGCTGGCAATGTAGTGGGTTTTCTGTGATATATGACATCCTTTAGGGGTCCCCCATACGAGGTTAACACCATCTGTTGAAAAAAAAATCATATTATTTTTCCTTTCCTGATGTATACATTTTTTTGATGATACATAGGTATTTAAATAGATGGCTAATAGCTTATTTGACATGTAAGCAGTTTATAATTTTTACTGCTACAAATAATAAATATATACTATGTAATTTCACATATTTTCATATTTTTGTGACTTATGTGGGAAATAAATTTGTAGTACTGGGGATATAGTTCAAAAGAAACATTTTTATAGCATTTCTTGTTGCCCAGTTTCTTTTCTGTTTTCTTGTTTGAATCCATTAACAATCCAAAAAGATCCTCATTTCCTATATCTTATATCAATGCAAAGCATATCATTAAGATAAATTCTGAATTGGTAGAAATAAAATAGGATATCATTTTAATATTTGATTACCAAAATGTTAAAGTATATTTTTCATCAGTTTCTTCTTATATGAATTTCTACTTTCTCAAGGCAGTTCACACCTTTTGTCCATTTCCTAATGAAGGATTATATTTTTGTTCCTGATTTCAAATGTTTTATAATCACATGCATACTATTTTTGGATTGAGGTAGATAGTCAAATCAGAGACTAACATATCAAGTTTTCTTGGCTTTAAAAAGGACCTGGGACAGGTCCATATAGCATGCACAGTGATAGCAGCATAGGAGGGATTCTCTGGAATAGCTTTCAATGTTCCCAAGTCATTTTACATCATGCACTTCCATGGTCATCAATAAAGAAGGTGACTGGGTGTGGGTTGTCAGTTCAGGGAAAACATCAATTCTAGGATCTTGTTAGTCTTTCTGGTTCTATCCTGTGACTCCCTCAAAGGTAGGTACATACCTAGCTTCCTTCTTCTGGTATAGCTACACCTTACCAAATACAAATGACTTAATCAAACTCAGCCATACCATGCAGGTGTGCAGTCAGTAGGTTGTAACTTCAACAGGACTCTCATTTATCTTGAATCAGACATCCATCCTTTGAAGAACTGTTGCAAGGAAGATTTGGTCCAAGGTCAAATCTTTGCACATTACTGAGGCTAGAGCAGAGATCATCAAGCTAAAGGGTGCAGGCCAAATTTAGATCCCTAGCTTGTTTGTTAAATAAAGTCTGATGGAAACACAGTCATACCCATTGGTTTACATTGTCTATCGTGGCCTTTGTGCTACCATTATAAGGTAAAAGTGGCCAAGAAAGAACCACAAAGAGTAAACTGCTTGCTAAATGGTTCTTTATTAAACAGTTTCTTCATTTGGAGCTACAGTAAAGCCTACAGCTCTGGAGCTATAGTAAAGCCCACAGCTACAGTTATTAGTCCTTTGTGTCCAGCATATTAAGAATATATTGCTGCTCATGTTGTAAATGTTTTCCACTTTTAAATATTTGTGTTTTTAAATTACATGTTTTAGAAATACATGTTTTGAGTTTGTTTAGTGTACTTTCCCCTATCTTCATCTACCTAGTTTTTTATGTTTCATTTATTTATTCATTTGTTCATTCATTCATTGTCATTTTTTTTAACCACGAGAATGTTTATTTTGCAAGTGACCTAATTCTTTTGCCACAATTTCCCTAGATTTTTAAGTTATCAACTTTTTTTCCCAGAGGTTTTAAACATTAGAATTTTTCAGAAGTTAAAAAGTAGAAAACACATTCTTTATTCAGCTGATTAAATAACATTTAATTTAAAAATTACAAACGTTTTTTCTGGTACCAGGGATCAAACTCAGGACCTTGTGCTTTCTAGGCAGCACATGAACTTTTTGAACCCTATGAACTTTTTGAATATCAAGAATTGAAGCTGCTGGGGGTCACATTTGTTTATAGGTTCCAAGATAACCCTGAGGTCTAAATAGGAAAAGATCTCTTATAATTTATAGTAAAACTCTTTCCTTAAAATAAAACAGCCTGAAATTTATACAATTGTATTCATATTCAACAGGTTTACAATGTCCAGAAAAGTAGTGGATTTTTAGAAATGACGTGGAAATAGCCTTCCATTCAGAAAAGAGCTTTTATCGCGATAACAACACTTGAAACCCATTGCCCTCTACAGAAGTCTGCTCCATGCTTCACTGAACAGAAGGTCACCCTTGTTAAAACCCCAGATCCTCAGATATGCAGTGGATGCCAGGTAGAGCTATCCTTTAAAGAAGACAATCCCCATAAGATTAGCTTTAACTGTTCATTTGGATGGGGAGTAAGACTGAAATGCCTGAGGATATCCCAGAGCCTCCTAGGATTGCTGGTACCATTTCTGTCTCCTCTGATGGTTTCCATTAGATGCATCCTTAGGTATAGTGCAGTCCTAAACCAGCTTCTGGAACATCTAATTGGTGATAAGTTTCTTTCATTCCTATCTTCTACAATTTCATTAAGTGTCAAGTCAACCCAGGCCTCTTGGGATGGATGGACATCTTCATTCATTCCCTTGTACATTTTCTTTAAAAACAGTGGAAGGATAACACATGATGAAAAGATTTCTCCAAAACCATGTGGTGTTAGCATTGATTAGCAAATCTAATACTTAGGCAAGTGGAGAAATCCCACAGCATCCTCACAGTAAAATGTTCCTGTGTTAATCTTGTGCCAATTGTCAGGGAACCCAGGCCCCTTCTCTGCTGGTAAATACCTCATAGAAGATTCTCTTGGCTCTGAGCCTCTCCGGGCATCTAGCAGATCTAAAACACTAACAGGTAATCTATCCCTAGCCCAAGAGATTCCATCTGAGTTGCCTGCTTCAACACTACCTTCCAATAAAGAGGCCTTGATTATGACAACATAAGCCACATTATTTGTCACATTTGATGGGGTACTCCCAGTGGGTCCTCAGACCATCCAAGCAGGTTATATCAGTCATTCCCTGATGCAGTGAAGCCACTGCAGCTGTTACCTTTGCCAGCACAAAGTCTGGTTTCCTTTCTGTTTGTGTGCATGAACATGGATGTGCATGGAAGGTACACACACTTGCCCCTTACTTTACACTGTCCACAGTGCACAGTCTGGTGCTGAGGTTGTTGGAGGAGATGTTGGCCAAAAGGACTACACTTTCAAAAGTTTTAAGAATAAGTTCTCAAGACTAACGGATAGCGTGATGTCCATAATTAATAACAATGTATTGTATACTTGAAAATTGGTAAAAGAGTAGATTTTATGTCTTCTTGCCATACACAAACATATGTACTAACTATGTAAAGTGATGGCTAAGTTTGTGGTATTCATTTCACACTGTATAAATATTTCAAATATTACATTGTAAACCTTAAATATTTTCAGTTATACTTCAATAATACTAAAGTGAGTCAATGCAAAGGTCAGTAAATAACTAGAGAACTTTTTTTTTCTATTTTGTTCACTTTTTAAACTCCTTGGCTTAATAGTACTGGAGGCATGATTGGAGATTTTTTATCAAATCCCTAAACAGTGCCCTTAAAGGTATATGCTAACTAAAAATAATAGTCACACAAATACAGAATATCAGTTGGAGTAGACTTACAGACATATTGGTCATTATCTGTCAAATAAAAATATTACAGTATGGGGCCAGGGATTTAACTCAGTGGTGCTACCGCCTGCCTTGCAAGCACAAGGTCCCGAGTTCAATCCCCAGTACCAAAAACAAACAAACAAACAAAATTACAGTAAGTTCTCATCCACCACATTAACCAGATCTTTTGGCTCTGTTACATTTGGCACTACCCAAAATTCAAAATGACTATGAAAGGTAAACTTTCTGAATCAATTCAGAACATCGAGGCAGCCAATCCAATACAACTAAAGACACTCATGAAAGTGAACTTCCAGAAGTGCTTCAAAAATGGCAAAACTGGTAGGATAAACGTGTTTCAAGTGAGGAAGAGTATTTTGAGGAGAATTACACTTGTACTGTAATTTTATTTTTTTTGTACCAGGGATCGAACTCGGGTCCTTGCACTAATATATTTTTAAAATTTAAGCATCCACCATATTTGTCATCACATCTAAGTATAAAACATGAAAGGATGGCCCTCACATCCCAAAGACAAGAAAGCAACTTTCCTAAGGAAGAATGCGTAATAAAGATTAAAATCATATCTAGACTTAGCCTGAGATTATTGCCCCCTCAACTGATCACAAGTTTGTGGGAAGTTTTGGGGGTCATTGGGGAGGGCTACAACCGAGAGGCAATTCTGAGAAAAGGAGTACTGCTGGTAGACAGTCCAGTACTGGTCTACTATACTATCCTTCACCACTTTAGTTAAGAGAACCCTGTAGAGACAATTATTTATTTAAATAGCTTTAGGTATTAGAATGTATGATTGAAATGCTTTTGAGTAGTTGCTAATTATTGTGCAGATTCTTCAATTTTATGATGATGCAAAAATTTCTAAACTCCCTTCCCTATCTTTCAGATAAAATGACAGCAGTTTTTTAAAGAGCTTTTTAAAAACCATATTTAAGCTAACTATACCTATTTCTTTTAACTGTTTCTCATATAATGTGTTTGTCTCTAAACATTTTTTCTGAATTTTTTTACTAAAGGCGTTCTAATTTTCCCAAAACTGAAGGCAGTTCTCTGAAGAGCTCTGAAATCACATTCCTTTTCCTATTACTAACTTGTTATTATGATCATTAGTTTTTTGTGTCACTCCCTTTCATCTTTTGATCTGCATGAATTAAAAGCTCCATAGTATTTTGCTAAGCTTTTCAATTGATAATCACTAACTTCTCTATCTTGTATTTGCTCATGTGGGATTTTGTATCCAAAATATAATTATTTATTTAATATGTTGTTCTTAGATTAAGGCAACTGCTCCAGTGCATCTGTATTTTTTTTTATCTTGATTCCACATCCAACCTATTTGGTTTCCCTCCCTGACTCTTAAGTATTGTGTGTGTGTATATGTATGTGTGTGTGTATGTGTGTGTGTGTATTTTATTCTGTCCTGGAACTTTTCCTTCATCTTTATAATCTGCTGATACACTACTGTAAAATATACTGAAGATAAAGATTATATGATTTGAAATTTTGGGGAAAACTTTATTGATCTCATTATACACTGATCACTGAAATAGGCATCTTGAGCTGCGTTCTTATATCATTTTCAAAATATGTACAGACTGGCCTTTTTCCACATTATAGCTCTCACAATATCCAGCTCAAATCCTTTCCCTCTATCAGATCAAACAGTGTGACATGCTTTCAAGAGAACTACTTCAGAAATCTTATAATACTTTTGTGGGTCCAAATGTATTACTACCATTTGCAGCTTCAGCAAATTAACACACAGAAGACCTCCTAGACTGCATTCTTCAGTGTCTTGAAGCAGATATACTACTGAGAGCTATGTACAGCCATCCCAACACCCAGTGTGAATTCGTCAAAGATAAAGTATACATCAGTAGTACGCTATATACATGGTTGTCTTAGTTACTTTTCTCATCGCTGAGACAAAATACTCAGTGCTCACAAGTTAAAGGAAGAAACATTTATTTGGCTTACAGTTTGTAGAGGTTTTAGTCCATAGTCCGCTGGCTCCAAGGCTGGGTGGTGTGACAGAGGGGGATTGCAGGGGAGAAAAGGTCGTCGGTCTGTGACGGGGTAAGCAGGAGGCAGCAACAGGGAACCTTCCTTTCCCTTTTATACCATTCATGTTAGAAGCCTATTGGATGGTGCCACGTACACTCAGAGAGGGCCTTCCCATTATCCACACCCAGAACTATGCTAAACCAATCAGTGGGCTAAGCTAGTAACACACCCGTAATCCCATTGTCACACACCGGTGGTGCAACCACCTCCCAAAAAATGAGCACATGAGGCTTTGTGGGAACATCTAGATACAAGTCATAACAATGGTATAACTATGGTCTGAAGAACACTAATGCACAATAGACTATAAAATCACACTATGTAAGTATGTGTACTGTGCTACTAAACATTTCACATAACCTTTCTTTTACCTTATTTGAAGTAAATATACTTACTTCTTTTCCCCTTATTTAATGCTTACAACAATTACTTTTGAGATATTATCTCTAACTATATTCATTGCAAAAATGGGAATGTGAAATAGAAAATTTTTTTTACTTGTCTATGTGATATAATTAGTGTGATGAAAGAATATATGAACCCAGTTAATATGACTTAATTCTTGTTTAACAAATATACTAGTCAGCCTCTTGATGAATATTAAAAGATAATGACTCCAAAAACACAGACGAACTAGAGGAAGTAAATTAGAAGAACCAATATTGGGTCTTGATTGGGTCTCTCAGTCCGTTGGAATATTTTGTTCTGCTTCCTCTCAATAACTAATCAATGCATTAAATCAATATGATCTTCTTATATCTGTATTGAAGTCTATATAATTATCCGTCACTTAGTTGTGAAAATAATGAACATTATTTGGCTAAAGGAAGAGCCCTTTCAAATTATATAATTTATGTATTGTATTATATTATATCATACACCATTTCCATGTGAATATACAGTTACTTAACTAATCGTTGCCAGATTGTATTCTCCATTTTATCTAAGTAAACAAGCAGATACCTTGCTTGCTGTGGCTAAGTTACTTGGAATTTTCCACATTTCTCTGTATATTAGATTTATAACAATTCCAAGAAAGAAATAAGATTACTTTGAAATTACTCTCATTAAAAAATTGGTCCAAAACATTGTAATGCAGTTATAAGGTCATGATATGGTGCTTTGGTTATCATCTATAATCTAGGTTGTAGGTCTTTAGTAGAATTTAATTTGGTTACAAAAATAAAAATGTATCATTATGTTAATGAATGAATTTTAACATTTTCTTTTTTATGGCTAGTATTAAACAGTGGTTTCATAATAATAGTTATTTTATTTTTGCTACAGAAAAATCACATAATAATAATAATAATGCTTGTTTTAAAATTTATCATAACTGAAAAGTCTTTCTGAGGAAATGGTGGTTTTTTATTTATCTGTCTTTTCTCTTTTCAGAGTTAACTTCCCGTAGGGCTATTTTAGCAGACAAGCTGTATTTCGGTGGGCCTACAGTACATAAATTACTCATTCTTTAGCCTTTGGTAATCAGACCCATTAGGTTTTATTGCATTTAGATTTAGCAAATCATAGGTTTGGAGATCTATGATGTTTATATAACCCTCACCTAAAAATTTTAAAAATAATTATATATAGTGCTATCAAACATTACATATATGAACATTATATTTTGTTCTTAATGAGTATGATATATTAAAAATCAGCTCCTTTATACCATTTTGTAGAAAGAATTCTTGCTGAGAGACAGTTGTGGTCACTATCCACAGAAGCCTATAAAGAACATGGAGCCAATTGTGGCTACTTTTAGAGTTTCCTGAAGACTAATCAAAAGCACCATCAGTTTTTTAAGATTTTGCACTCTTACTAAATAAATTTACTTTTTAAAATCAGCTATTATGCATTGAGTGTATAGTTATTTCTTACTACTTATTATCAAGCAATTCAAGACTTATTACTTACTGATCTGAAGAAACAGGATCATCCTTGACTAATCATTTACCTTTCACTCTTACTGCTTAGTAGGAAAAACAAATGGTGCTTGAACTCATTATCCAAGTCAACCATGGCTTTCCTCTTTAATCCCCTACTTTCTTGAGACAAAGGTTTGCAAACTGCTGTCTATGGACCAAACACAACTACTTCCCAGTATTTGTGCAGCCTATAAGCTAAGAATGACTTTTATATTTTTAAATTGTCTTAGACCATTTAGGCCGCTATAAGAAGACCCTATAGAATGGTTGGTTTTTATACAATGGAA